ACGCACTGGGAATACCTGATCTATACTGGGATTAGCACCGCACGTCAGATATGTTGCGTCTAAATTGGGAGTTGACAAGTATAAGCTTCAAAACAGGGGTGTCAACTTTAAAATTTGAAATGTCGGGTCTGTAGTGGTGAGCTCAGAACTGGGAAAGATCAACTGTTAACTGGTGTTTTTTAGCTTAATGCTGCGTTCACACCGGACGCGATGCGAATATTCACAGTTTATCGCGTCATTCAAAACAGACATACCGTTGACGCGCCGCGCCGTTGACGGACAGTTGAGGTTGTTTACACTTCCATGCAAGATCGTTTTGGTTATTTCTGTCCTTGACTATGGAGGAACAACTATTGCTGCTTTGTACCTTCTGTGGAAGTGTATCGTATATCTCCGGGAACCCACTCACAGCCACAACGATCATCTCTTCCATCTTTACAACTGATCAACAGCAGGACGTCAGAGGGAATCCCACCGCTGATTGGCTTCCGCGAGAACGCGTCACGTGAATTTGACGCTCGAGTTGAAAAAATTGAACTCTCACGTTTGACGCGGCCTCCTTCAATCGCGTGATTCGCGCCGCGTCCACCGCTTCATGCTCGCCGTCGGAGCGAATTCGCGTCTGTCCGCGTCTCTGCATTGACTTTACATGTAATCGCGCCGCCCCCAAACATCGCATCGCGTCCGGTGTGAACGCAGAATAAGACTGAGAATACTTACTCTAAAGTGGGATTTTTTTACTTATATACTGGGAATTGTAGACCAGGTCAGTTTGAGTCAGATTTTAATTTTAGACTGAGAAAACCAGCACCAAACTGGAAAAGTTTAAGATCTTAACTGGGAAACCCAACTACAAAATGGGAACGGTCAGCTATAGACTGGGAAAACCAACTTTAAACTGGGAACGTTAAAGATTTAGACTCAGAAAAACAGCACCAAACTGGAAACCAGTAAGACTCAAACTGGGAAAACCAACTTCAAACTGGGAATGTTAAGACTTACACTATGAAAAACCAGCACAAATCTGGAAAAATTGAACACGTAAACTGGGAAACCCAACTACAAAATGGGAATGGTCAGTTCTTGACTGGGAAAAACAACTTAAACTGGGAACTTTGATGATTTAGACTGAGAAAACCAGCGCCAAACTGGAAAAGTTTAAGACCCTGGACGAGGAAAACCAACTTTAAACTGGGAATGTTAAGATATCGACTTTAAATAACAGAACCTAACTGAAAACATTTAAGACTGGGAAAACCAACTCCACAATGGGAATGGTCATCTCCAGACTGGTAATACAGCTTTACTGTACGTTGGGAATGTCAGCTGTTTCCTGGGAAAAATAGCTCAAGGGTAGCTCGATAATGGAAAGCCCATCTCTCTAACGCTGTGGGAATATCAGCCTCCCACTGGAAAAGTTTTCCGTGTAAATGTTTGTGTTTCATGCTTGATGTTTAGCTCAATCTTTTTTCCGTCTTTTAAGTTTATTAAGGAAACATTTCACTGTGCTCTTTGCTTTCATCACCAGTAGAGACTAGAGCATTCCTGGAGCCGACACATGGCTTCAATTAGGTCCTCATCCATCTCTGGGATGCAGGTGGCTATCACACACACACACACACACACACACACACACACACACACACACACACACACACACACACACACACACACACACACACACACACACACACACACACACACACACACACACACACACACACACACACACACACACACACACACACACACACACACACACACACACACACACACACTTATACACTGTGTGGAATGAAGCTGCCACATTGTGAAAATACCATTAAATTGAAATTGCTTCAGTGTGTGAGTACATGTGTGTGTCCGGAGGATGATTTGTAACAACAATGGCTGCTTTCTGCCAAACTCTTATTGATGAAATTTGCAGGCTCCTGATTGGATAATAGGTTTTTGATTTAGTCAGTTTAAAGGGTTCGTTGGAGATCTTGATCTTAATTATGGTAATGTCACGCTGGAAATTGTGCGTGCTGATTAGGTTCAATATGTTAAATTAGTGGGAGGAGGAACATCAAGAGCAGTAAGATTCCTGGAAACTCTCTCACAGACAACGTCAGGTGATGGAAAGCTCTAGACTGGGAAAAGAAACTCTAGATTAGGAACACTTAGCTCTTGACTGGAAAACCAACTTTAAACTGGGAAAATGTTAGCTCTAGATCAGGGGTGTGAAACTCAAGGCCCGGGGGCCAAATCCGGCCCGTGACTTCATTTCATGTGGCCCCACAAGAGCTTGCAAAGAATATAATATATTTAATATACGGTTACATGCCGATTTACAGAAGCACGTTGCCCATAAACTACATGTCCCACAATGCATCTCAAATTTGACTTTTTTCTCAGAATTTGACTTTTTCTTTTAAATGTTAGTTTTTTTTCAAAATGTTTTTGTTTTTTTTTGTGACTTTTTTTTCCAGAATTTGGCTTTTCTTTTTAAATCATTTTG